CCATATCTATTCAGCCCTTTTTAACGTCCCACTGCTGGGCAGGGGCTTCCGGAGCTCCCATCAAAACGATGGGGATCAGGCCATAGCCACCACACTGGCCAAGTGCGGATTAGCGGACTTTACATGTCTTTCGAAGACTTGTTAGATTCTCTCAGACATGCAGGTTTCCTCATGATGTTTTTCTTCACCGTAAGGCAAGTGGTAATCATGTTAGAAATGAATAGCACTTGAAAATTACAGGGGTGTGAGACCCGGGATTTGAACCTACTTCACTCGGTTTTCCAATTCCCAAGCAAACGCGTTTTCACTAGGCTACAACTGCCTAACCTTGATAGCTTATACCTTATTAAAACCTTGAGCCATATTATATATATATATATATATATATATATATATATATATTTAATAAATATTAATATTATATTTAATAACCAAAAATTTCTATTCAGTAACATATTTGAATCTGTAAAAATATTTATTTCGTTGTTTCTTTGTAACGTATGCTATTCCTATATTATTTTTTCGATTTCCGTGAAGCTTACGGAGTTGTTGTATATTCAGTCGTGAAGTGACATAGTGTCATAAATGAGCAATAGCTAGGACGAGAGTTGCACAGGATTATTTGATATATTATTTATGTGCTAGAGCATCGGACGAAGCTTGTGAAAGTTCGTCTCTTATATCCCAATTTCCGTAATACCTATTAGTTTGTAATAGGTACACTAAAATACTTTAACATGTATCAAATAGAATATAACTTTACTGAAGTTCGGTTTTACGAAAATATCAATTTACATGGACTTTATGGACACCGTTCAAACTGGCGTAATAACATCAATTTGAAGCGAGTGACACGTGGTATGGAAATTTCATTAATTTAGCCCTTTACGTCTAGTGCAGGTATATCCATAAATTAAGTTTCCTTCTAATGCCTTCGTCAATTTTATAGTTAACATGTGAGCAACCATGGTTTTTCTAGGTAAAAAAGGAATCATAATCTATACAACTGATATGAATACAACTATACCTAACTATATTAATACAAAACATAAGTACTAGTTGTACGTATTCGTACAATTCAGATTCGGTTTATACTTATTTTTTTTTAATTATTCAATCTATCTCACGGTAATATGTTAGAAAGGTTGCGGACGAGCACACAAGTAATTAAACTTTCATTGCAATCGAACTAACGTATGGGCGAATACTTTACAAACACATGAACTAGGTACCATCTTATTAGGATGGAAATTTGCAATTATTTGTGTTCCAAAGAAAACGTTATTTGATATTTTGATCCCATTGTTAAAACCTTCAAAGTTTTTGAAGTTTTTATAAAGCTTGTTTCCAAGTTGTCTTATAAATTTTAAACATATTTAGCAAACGTAAAACAATTCGGTGTTTCCTAAATCGACAAATCTGTATCGATTCCATCAGTGTTTGCCTCATTTTTTAGACTCTATAATCCATAGTTTATGTTTATTTTCTATTATTTATATTGGGGAAAAATATAACATTGGTCTTAACATTTTTAATTTATAACTTATCTTTTGGCTATTTCTTTGTTGTCTCTGTGACTTATTGTTCAAACATATCGTTAATTAAAATCAATTATATGTAACCGCAACGGTTATTGTTTATATGGAATTCGTCGTGCATCACGTTTTAATTCTTCATCAATCTTACTTTACATTTAAAATAACAATGCTGCGATATAACCATGAATATATGGCGTCATTGTTTAGTAATTAATTTTAAGAACTATTAACTTTTTAGGTTGTCAGATTTTGCTCGAGATTAAGTTTGATTAAGAGTAAAGCTCGTTGTTAATATAATAATGTTAGTATTACATAGACTATAAATAGGTGATCGTTAGTGAAATTGAGAGCATGCAGGTCGATTTTATTTACCAAATATTTCTTTTTAATAGTATGAACTAATTTTTAAAGCAACCTTTTTTTGAGTTCATAACTTTTTCATTAAAAGCTTAAAAGTTATTTTTAATTATTTATTGAAAAATCCAAGTGTTTGCACTTCTCTGTGCTTGTATATAATTCTCTTGTAAAAGCTCTATATAAAAATATTTTTCTGTTGTAAAATTCAATTGGGCTTTCTGATCGCATCTAAATTAAATCTACGTGGTATGGTACCACGTAGGCTTTTCCTCTTTAATATTTTATTCAGCAATTTGTTTCGTAGCGCCTGAACGACCGAACTTCGCTTGGCGTAGGCGCTCGTTTAACAAGTATCACCAAAATCTGACGCTGATATTTTAATAGATGAATTTAGAGATCCCTTACAGCCTGTGACAGTATACGATCCAAAACGTTAGAGCCGTTCTAGGTACCTACACGAATATATATATATATATATATATATATATATATATATATATATATATATATATATATATATATATATATATATATATATCACAGAAAAACCACTGGAGGGATTTTGATGAAATTTGGTATGGTGATAGCTGGTTATCCGGGTCAACATATAGGATACTTTTTACAGTGGGAAAATATCTCATTTTTGAGAAAATATACGAAAACTGCAATGTAAGAGTATACTAATAAGTGAAAACTAAGAATTTGGTTTTTGATCATCTGAACGCAGGCGGAGCCGCGGGCAATGCTAGTATCTTACTAAATTTCTTTAAACTTATAACACCCCTCCTTTTGCGTCGGGATTATCAAAAAATGATATCTGATTACAGTACATATCTATTATTAAGAGAATCAAATTGTTTTTTATACATTTATTTTAGTACGTAATACAATTAACAATATCGGATTTCAGGAATGTTTATTAAAAATATTTATATACAACTGAACAAGCTTATTAACAGCGTACGAGGACGGATGCGTTTATTTATATAAACCTCGCCACTGATAACGGATATGTCGATTCTAATATGGCTATCGTTGCAACATTCTTGCAACTCGACTGTAATTCATAGAACATATCAATATACAAATTATATAAAAACATTGTTATGATATGTTATTCACCGGATAAACAAATGTTTATCTACCCATCTAATATACATTTATGTTATGTTTACATACGACTCATCCTCGCTTTGCTCGGGTTCGTCAAAAATATTAAAATTGCTATAAAAAATGGGGGGTAGGGGTAGAAGGGTGAAAAATACTTTACGACCTATATTCTCATACCTAGCAAACATACAAAAAGAAAACGTGTGTGTGTACTTATGTACACGCACGTAAGAAGTTATACTTCTTTGACGTAATAGAATAAAAATAGCTATCTAATATATAAAAATATAATATCTAAATAAATAATCTAATATATAATAAAAATAGTTAGCATCCCGTATGTTACAACTCTCTGTAAAAAGAATGCAGCTAACTTCATCATGTCGCTTTCAGCTAACCTCATCAAGTCGCTTTTTGGCTAACGCTGTGCGCGCGCATCGTAAAAATTTTACTCTCATATTTTTTTCCAAACATGCCAAAAGAAATATAACTTCAAAAAAAACATTAAAATCGGTGGAGTCGTTTCGAAAGAGTGCGATCACAAAGACCGTGACGCGAGATATTTATAAATTAGAATGTACATAATTTATTTATTGTCTTTCGAATATCCCATTAATATCTATATATATATAAAAGAAAGTCGTGTTAGTTACACTATTTATAACTCAACAACGGCTGAACCGATTTGGCTGAAAATTGGTGGGGAAGTAGCTTAGACCCAGGAGGCGGACATGGGATACTTTTTATCCCGTTCGATTGCGTTCCCGTGTGACGTGTCATAAAACTCAAGAACGGCTGGACCAATTTTTATGATATTTGAATTTTTGGATTTCTCTTAGTCCGGAATAGGATAATAAGTATTAAAACATCAGAAAAATTAACGAAAATTATATGGCTAGCGCTGGCTAATAACTATTTATCTCTACTTAAAACGTACCTAGCGACGAACCCGAGCGAAGCGAGGGTGAGCCGCTAGTTTATTTAATAATAGCCGACTCACCCTCGCTTTGCTTGGGTTCGTCTTTAGGTACGTTTTGTTGTGTTTTACCGGGGGAATGAGTTAATCTCCCGCAGTAAGAAGTAACCATAGATGTCACTTTCCAGCCCTCCTGTAATCTCCATTTAAAAAATTCACGCCAATACATCTTATTATAATATTTTTAAATTGGAATATGAGATAGAGTTATTATTTTTATAGTAATATAAATATGTTTTATATAATATCACCTTGATTTCCGTAGATTTAAAATACACATTGTTGATTCTAATGCGTCTTTCTGTACACCATCATATACCACTGGATGATAAGCACTGAATAAATGTTCGGTTCGTTTATTAATTCAACGCTGTTTACTAAATAAAAATGCATGCCTCTTATAATTATCTTAATTATGAGAAAATAAACTTTGACGGCAGGTGTATACATGTGTGACGTCAATTTTTCATAAGGAACTCCACAGTACAGTTCGCATTTGCTTCTTAGCTCTCTACTACTGAATACGTCTTTTCCCTACATTATGCAATCTAAGATGCCTTATTGTTTAAGAGCTTGTTTCTCCTTTAGTAAATTACATCCAATTGAAGATGAAAATGGTTCGCTTTATACTGATCTATATTAAAATTACCTATACATTAAATATAATTAAGTAGTGGTTAGAGTGTTATTCATTATTTTCGAACAACTAATATTTCATCAGATAATTTTTTATATTATATATAAGTAATTTTACATATGATATATATATATATATATATATATATATATATATATATATATATATATGTTTTCTTATCAGGCCATAAACTTTTAGTAAATTAATATATTCACGTGTAAAATTATTACGCGACGAACTAAATCAATTAATATTTCAATAACGAAAAAATGATAGCGAGTATATAATATCTTTGTACAGTGTAGACTTAATTTTAAAATGACAATGCAATAAAATACTATATAGAAAAGCATGTGAAATTGTGGCTTTACTATAATTGTAGTATATTACAGATGTTGTTGCAGGGGTGCTGGAGATGACTGGCACGGACAACATCCGCTTCAGCGGACACACCCTGGACAAGGCCACCAAAGCTAAGGTGACCTTGGAAAACTTCTATACGAATCTCATCACACAACATTATGAGAGAAAACAAAGGTAACTTATATTTCTATTTGTGTAAACATAAATGATACTGAAGTATGCTTATGTAACGATTTCGAATTATCTCGCCCATATTGAGTTTCTGTGGATAGGTATCTATACATATAATAAAATTGTAACTAAGTCGAATCTGTACATTAGATATTTTTTGGAAAATCTTATTGAAATAAACATTAATATCGATACAGAGGCCAAATCTATAGTTTTTAGAATTTTTGTCTGTCTGTTACCGCATCGCAGAAAAACCACTGGAGGGATTTTTATGAAATTTGGTATGGTGATAGCTGGTTATCCGGGTCAACATATAGAATACTTTTTACCGTGGGAAAATATCTCATTTTTGAGAAAATACAAAAACTGCAATGTAAGAGTATACTAATATGTAAAACCTAAGAATTTGGGTTTTGGCCATCTGTACGCGGGCGAAGCCGCGGGCAATGCTAGTATTTTATAAAATCACGGGCAACAATAAAATGTCTGTTTGTTCCTTTGCTTGTTTTTAATAGCACTAATATCCGAGATGACTTAACCGATTTAACGATGCATTTACTGGCAGATAGAAATTGAAAATAAGATAGACATTTTAAATAAGAGTTGGCAGTAAATGACAAACGTAGCTATGCACAAAGGCTAGCTATTAATAAAATCATTACTAAAAACTATAAATCAAAATAAATACACCTCAAATAACTTTACGACCACATAAAGCATTATCCATATTATAATATGTTATGATATTTATTACCTAGATGCGACCTTCAATCTCCACGACATAAAGATTTTATTAACGACTGGAATGAATATTAAAAGAAGAATATACGATATATTCCACAGTTATCCATATATTTATACAAATCCTAACATAAATCATCTATTGTAGATTAGAAAAGCTAGAAGAGACTCTAAAAGATGAGAATTTGACGGAGAGTCAAAAGCAGGAAAAGCGTCAACAACATGCGCAGAAAGAAACGGAATTCCTTAGGCTCAAGCGGTCCAGGCTTGGGGTTGAGGACTTCGAACCTTTGAAGGTGAGTCTATATTAAGTAGGTTAAGTGGAAAATTGCAGATTAACCAATTATGTATTGAAACGGAAAAAATTAAAAGGGTCACTAACAATAAAAATAGTTCATGATACTCGTACCATGAAGCTGTTCAACGCACTTTATTGAATATAAATTCTCTACAAATCGATTAAGTAATTACCTTTTTACAGTATTTCAAGTATAAGTAAATATATTTTTTTCTTTGCAAGTTTGGCTAGTCGCCGTACGATAAAGTTATAGAAAGTAAGGTAAGATTTAAGAGATGTGAATACTATAGGTAAAATTGTTAAGTCTTCACACACAATATTAAAATAATAAACGAATGAAGACTTTTGTTATCAATGAAATTTTAAGTTATTAATTTAAATATTATTTCTGAAATATAAAGATAACGAGTTATCTTTTGACCTATATCTGTAATGATGTAGTTAAAAAGAACTCAAAAAAGTGATGAAAATATCCTTGTTCTAAATAAGGTAGCAGATTTAAATTTAGGCTCTACATGTCAATCTATATATACATAAAATGCTTTGTCCTGACTGACTGATCGATCAACGCACAACCTGAACAAACCGCTGGTCGTAGAAATGTGAAATTTGGAGGACGTATTCCTTATACAATGTAGGCATCCGCTAAGAAATGATTTTTCGAAACTTATCCCCTAAGGGAAAAAAGGGGATAAAAGATTGTATGAAACTGTGTTATTCTTAACGCGCAATGCACAGAAAGTGGTATTTAGGTTTAAGATAACAAATAAGAAATATACATGTATATATATGTATGTATTAGATTTTTGTCGAAATTCATCCCTTAAAAGGGTGAAGGGGGTGATAAACTTTATATGGGCAAACAATTATTTATGATCAGAATTGCTTGAACCTTGGTATGAATGCTCTTCAATACAATTAAATAAGTACATGTTTTAGCATTTTTCGAAATTCATTATATACAAATACCTTTTTTTTATCATTCATCCCTTAAAAGGGTAAAAGAGGGTTCTGCTGATTATATGAGGAAGAAATTGTTTATGATCAAAGTTACTTGAAACTTGGTATTAATGCTCTTTAATACAATTAAATAAACATGTATTTTAGATTTTTTTAATTCAGCCCTTAAGTAGGTAAAACTGGGCGGTGAAGTTGGAGTTGTTTAATATATTTAAACAGAGTAACGTAAGTCAAGTTCTCCGTAAGTGCACACTTACTGTGTGGATATAAAGTAGAGACAGAGATTATTCCAAACCCAAATATAAATATAACTTCTCATCTGGCCACTGCAGTGACAACTATAATATACCTAGAGCGCGGCAGAGAGAATCTAGAGAGTATTCTGATAGAAATATCCTCCTTCTAAAGGTTGCCATAACTGAGTGTAATGAAAAATTCACCTAAGCTATGTAAAGGGATTAGACTGTGAGTAATTCATTAAACATCATAGTGGCCACTGTGTTTGCTGGATGTGCTCGGGAGGAATCAGAATTCATACCTCGATTACCACTGATAAGTTCTGACTTCGCCTTTGAATTTAATCTATTTTAATTCCTCTATTAATATATCTCAGGGCCAGTCGTTTAAAGTAGCAGGCGTAGAAGTTAAGAGAGGATAGTCTAATGTTCTGCTAGTAAATTATAAAATCTTTTCGCCCATATCATTTGATACAATTAGAAAAATAACATATATTAGAAACATAACATTTTGCCAATTTCTGGGCTTATTCGGCATAAAGTAGTCTAATTTATATACATAAATATTTTTATAATAAGCAATAAGTAATGCGGCTACGAGAATATAACAATAATGTGCTTTAAATCAAAATCACAATTAAAATTGGCCCGAAGCATATATATCAGGGAATGGTTATACAAAGGGAAATTTTCTTTTGTCAATAGGTTATAGGGCGAGGAGCGTTCGGAGAAGTGCGTTTGGTACAGAAAAAAGACACCGGTCACGTTTACGCTATGAAAATACTAAGGAAGGCAGATATGCTTGAAAAAGAACAGGTAAGTCTTACTTAGATATTTTAATTTGACGTTATTTTCAGCATATCGGTTGAGCTACCAACTTTTTAACCCGTTAGAACAAGTTGATTTTCAAAAAGCTCTTTGGACAGTTTTGTTATAATTTGTGCTTTGGTATCTCAATTAATATTCGGATATTTATATGAAGGTTTTTATTACCACTTCGATATTAAAACTCGTAAGTACCAGTTCACGATATATTCATGTCTATGTCACGTTTTCGTTTTTTTTCTTCTACATTTGTCTTCTTTCTCATTTTTCTAAATTCAAGCTAACCATTACAGTCCATTGAATAACGTATGCACAACATGATGGATGGTTAGAACTTTTCAAACCCGTACCTTTCAGGTGTTTCCGTTTCTTCGCGGCAAGGAAATTTCACCTTCGTTGTATCCGTTCTGCGTTGACAGCTATTGACGTACGACGATTACATAACATTATTATTTATGTTACAATACGTATTGTTAGTGCAAAACTAGTTTCTATAAATAAAGGTTGAATATGTGATACCTGCTTAAGTTAATCATAATTAAACTGGAAATATTCAAGAGAAATCTTAAAAAATGTTTGATATCAGACTTCTTTATAAATAGGATGGTCCATACGGAAATATTTTCTCAGAAATATTTATAACAATGGTTTATTTTAAGGCGATCGATATAATCGTGGGTAAATAAATAAAATTCTTCCTTTCGTTGATGTCATAATCCATATCATTCGCCCACATTCTAAACATAATATTCCAAAGTGTTTAAAATGTTGCAGCTTAAACCAAGAATTTTATTCTGAATGCATTACGGGGGCAGACAGGATAACGTTATACAATTGCTATATATTAATAGAAAACCAAATAACTCAGACAAATGACATGGCGTTGTGTCACATTGTCGTATTATGTGTTTTATTATACGTAATATACTTTTTTCATTAGCTAAAACGATTATTACGAACTTATCTAATTGGGTTTACTGGTTTTCCCTTGTTTCACTTATATCCTAATGGTACCTTAAAGTCCTCTTGTGTTTGTTTTGAAATAAAAAAAAATATGTTGAAACATTAACACGCAGCACCATCTAGTTTTATGGTAAGCTATGGCTTGTGTTATAGATACCAGATAGTTGAACACTACACATAAATAACTTTTAAATACATACATATTATAAATATAAACACCCGTGACTGGAGTACAGATATTCGTGCTCATTACACAAATATATGCCCCCAGCGGGACTCGAACCCGTGACGTTTGGCGCAGCAAGTAGAGTCACTACAAACTGAGCCAAACGTGTCGTCACATTGAACAATACAGTCATAAAAACAAACTTATTTGAAATATTTAAGTTGGAAGGTCGGGTATAAAACTTGTCGTAGAGGCAATGTGTTTTTTAAACATTTTGTTTCCTAGAAAATTTGTTTGTTTTTCTATCCTTAGAAAATAAACATTGGCAATCGCAGTTTTATTTATGTTTTGCTTCTTCAAACTAGCGTTAAGATGAAAATCTATTTGAGTTTCACATTCGTGTAAGTAACTTTAATATATTTGCAATTGATGGAGACAAACATTTTTTTTCTTTTTTTTTTTAACGTTGGGAAATGCATTTACGCACGAGGTGTGGGACTCACCGACAAAGCCAGTACTACCCACTAAAACCCAACAAAGCCTTCCCCCGTCTTAATGGGGCGTCGCAGGATCGCTTACGCATTCAACTACGACGCCCCGACAGATGGAGACAAACATACTTCTTGTAAATTAACTTCGATGTAATTCCATACCTATTGGTCCTTTATTCAATATTAATAAAAAACCGCAAAACTTCCTATTTTTCTTAAGGTGGCTCACGTGCGAGCCGAACGTGATATCCTGGTGGAGGCTGATCACCAATGGGTGGTGAAGATGTACTACAGCTTCCAAGACCCAATGAATCTGTACCTCATAATGGAATTCCTCCCCGGTGGTGATATGATGACGCTTCTGATGAAGAAGGACACCTTAAGTGAAGAATGCGCGCAGTTCTATGTTGCTGAAACGGCCTTGGCCATAGATAGTATTCACAAGCTTGGATTTATTCACAGGTAATGTTAGTGGTTATATTTTGTGGAACTAATTTGAATATTTATGACATTTTCCGTAGAAAAGATAGTTGATCGAATAGCTCGTTCTCTCTAAGATGGATCAAATGTTTATGGTTATCAACATTAGAAATATTTGCATCAAGCAAGCATCGAACCGCGCTATATAGTTGACTAATGTGATAGTTTAGTAGTAGTAGTAGTACTTAACATGGTCTTTATAAGTTTTTATTTTGTATGATATGAATGGCAATAATTATATCGTCTTTTGTAATACAAGCAATGTGAAATTTATTTGTCACTACTATTACCATTTAAAAATTCATATTATAGTTTTATTTCAATATTTCTTACTGTACAGGGATATAAAGCCAGACAACTTGCTATTGGACGCCCGTGGTCACATCAAGTTGAGCGACTTTGGTCTTTGCACGGGTCTGAAGAAAAGCCATCGTACGGACTTCTACCGTGACCTTTCACGCGCTACACCCTCAGATTTCAGTGAGTTTAGATCTTTGTGGTTTTTTTTTATTTTTTTATTGAATTCAATAAAGTATTTTTTTATTTCAATTTATTTTCATTTCATCGAGAATCGCAGGAGATATTTATTGTTAGAGTGTGACGGTGTGCACTGTGTATATATGTATCCGCATACACACTCTCGATCTTTCAAAGTTCAGTAATGCAACTCCGATATTCACCCGGAAAACCCAGAAAAGAACCCGAACAAAGACTCGATCCCAGGACCTCCGTATTTTAACCGTACATACCACCTACTAGACTAATGACACAAATAAAAACCGTGAAATAAACGTCTAATTAAAAGGCAATTTGAGTCATTCACGTGAACTTTCAATAATTGTTGAACTACTTAACGAATATCGTAATATTATTCTTTTGTGCTTTGCATAATTTTGTTTTATTTAAATTTTATTGCATACTTTAAAACTATACTGATAAGAATCCTAATTGGTTTTCACATAATGTCATTTTTTTGTTACCACACAGATAGTGTAATGTTTTGGCACGCTTGTTTTCGTAAGCTGAATAAAAATGGAAATTATTAGCTAATACTAACAATATAAAATTCCGATGTTTTTTTTTTAATTTGTAGTAAAAAAATCAACTATTGTATATACTATAACTTTATCATTGTTCAATTTGTTTGTTTATTGATACGACGAAAGAGAAAATATGCTAAAGCGATACTATTATAAAATCTTTTCAGTTTTCATTGAAATCTGCATTATGTCTTATCCGATTTACGTGTTTCAATCGGAGCATCAGAAAGCCATAAAGCAATGGAACAATATTTATTTATTACTAAAGGTTTTTCGCCTATCTTACAATTTGTCCAATTTGTATCCTACAATTCTCACTTACCTCTTAACAGTTTGTCTACGTCAATTGCCTGGTCAGATAATAGGGAGTTGAAAAGGGAAAAATATTGAAACAGTTTATTCTAGATCTTTTTCTATGCAGTTCAATTTTATGTTTTATTACTTTATAACCTTTTGAAATTGTATTTTAACCACTTTTAGAACACCCCATTAAATGTAAGGGACAGATTTCTTTTCAGTATCAACGTCAACATCACCAATGGACTCAAAGCGTCGTGCCGAATCATGGAAACGTAATAGAAGAGCGCTAGCATATTCCACAGTCGGGACCCCGGACTATATTGCGCCAGAAGTGTTCCTTCAGACTGGATATGGACCACAAGCTGATTGGTGGAGCTTGGGTGTTATAATGTAAGTATAGGCCGAGAGCTGACTTTGATAAGTAAACACCCACTTGTTATTGTGATTAATTTTAGACGACACCTTTCACTCAGTTTGTGGTGACCCTACTTGCTGTGCTAGCGGTCGCGGGTTCGATTCCCGCTGGCGGAATTAATTTGTGTGATCAGCACGTATGTTTGTACTCCAACTCACTCCACTTAAAGATAGATTGTAAAAATACACACTAAGAAGTTGAAAAGTTTCAACAATACTTATTTAATTTTAAAAAATATTTTTTATTTCTCTTTTTAAGATTGTATATGCTTTTATTTGTTCAGCGCTCATAATATTTTATATATGCCGTATACACAATTGCTTTTATAATATAACATACAACCTATATGCGAATTTTGTTCTTTTTCTTATTCGCGGAAGCGATTTTTTTATTTATTATTTATGCGAAAATTAGTTTATTATGTTTTCTAATAAATGGTTGTGGAAATTTTATATATTATAGAACTAATATCATCTAATTACCCTCTAACCGCAGTCGATTATCGAGGTTATTATTTGAAGTTGTATGCTTTGATGTTAGATTTATTTCAATAATAACCCTTTTTAACGGTACTCCAGTGTTTTAAAAGAGAATAATTAATGTCAAGAGCTGGTTAAATAAAATGATAAAATATATTTCTTTCGTTCCGTTCCCCAATTGTTCTGTTTTTTCTTATTACAAAAAATGAAATTGATTTTTTATTGATGAATTTTTATTTCATTGCCGGCAAGAGAGCACGGGTTTGATTCCCGTTCGATGCTTCTGTTCTATGTATACTAATATAGTTAATTTTTGAATGAAAAGATCACTTTAACTTTAAAAAGCGCCCTTGTTATTCCACTCTTATGAGTAGATTCCTTATAAAATTTATATAGAATCACTCTCGAGATATAACTACTAACTATAAAATAATATATCATTAAAATCGGTTCACAATGGGTGAAAATATCGCGTGGCTTACAATAAAAATCTTACATGTTTTGTCTGTCTGTAGAAAAATCATTATTGGTATTACATTCAATAGAAATCAATAATGTCTAGCTTAGCGATTCGTACGATGTGACAATAACAATTTTAGTAAGCATTAAAAATAAAACCTACTTAAAATATTCGATGCACTTCATATATGTAGTATTTTTAGCAAACGTTGGTGATTTTTAAATATGAAGTAATACGGTAGTCCCGCATCTCTAATTATGGCAATAATGCGATCTGGTAGTTAATACCAAAACAAATATGTATTGTTCAAAAACCATGGAACAGAGTGTATTGTACATTGTAACTACCGTGAAAACCAATGCTGCTTCTAAATATGTTCAAATATCTAAATTAAATTGTTTATTGCGAACTTTTCTGATTTACATGTTCACTTTTTTATACGTTTGACTCGCGCTTAGTGTAGCAGCCGATTTGCGATATAGATGTAATTCAATGTCGCCTGGGCATTTTATTGTATATAAAATGCAAATATTGCTTTTGACGCAATATACCTATACATATAAAATATTTCTTCACAAGAAATATTAACGATGAAATTATTATATATATTTTGTATTATATAATAATAATTTAATTCTTATTTACTTCGCAATTTAAAAAGTTTCAACAATACAGATCTTTGCGACATAAATATTTTTTGATCTTGAAAAATTTATTGGAATGAAAGAAATGCTATTAGCGAAGATTGTTATATGTATAAGACGAAATATTAAATATATTTTGCTATTGCTTTATAACGCTTGCAATATAGGTATATAACCTAAAACCAGCAAAATTTTGTATTTACTTCCCTCTGTTTTTCTTTTTTCCATCAATATGACTGAATCAATTTTAATGCAGTTTTAACACAATTTCCTTACAATATTAGCAGCAATAAGCGATCGATAAAATGCTTATAATTAGCTGTGTATTGCAATTATTATTATTTTTATAAATTGCCCTGATTTTTGTATTATAATGCCTATATTTTTTTATTATACCCAAAAGTTTTATCTTTCTGATAAGGTCAATGTAAATAAGCATAAAAACATTTCAGGTACGAAATGTTAATAGGCTATCCGCCATTTTGCTCCGAATCGCCGCAAGAGACGTACAGGAAAGTGATGTCTTGGCGGGAATCGCTCACTTTCCCACCAGAAATACCGATTAGTGAAGAGGCGAGGGACACTATTCTTCGCTTTTGCTCTGAACCCGACCGCAGGTACGTGTTGACTGTTGGCTCTATACTCAGACTGACAACTAAGAATTATATAGATGGTGTCCGCCCAAAATCAAAAATATTCAATTCAATTTTCTTGTTAATGCCTTCAAAGCGTGTCATTACTTCGCTAATATCAAGTAGAATGGAAAAGACACGCGGAAAAAAGTCAAAAATAGTAGCTGGCTTTGTCTTGTCTGTATTTTTCTGTGCCTATTTAGGGTTCCGTACACGAAGGGTGCCAACTGAACCCTATTACTAAGCCTCCGCTGTCCGTCCGTCCGGTTAAATAGCCATAGAATTCCATATATAAGTTAAAGTTAGTCTTAGTTGAACTGCGGTTATTATAATACGGTTTTGTAATACAATTTAAATACAGTGAAGTAATTAGATTTATTGACTATTTTAACAGTGTATTTAGTGTAAAAAGAAATATATCTTTTTTTTAAAAGACTTAATTACACCTCGTCACATTTTTGGTGGCAGCGGTTGGGATACGAAAATTCCAGTAGCCCTCTAAATTTAATAAAACTCATAAGCTCACTGGACTCCGCGTAGACAAAAAAGGAAAATAATATAATAATAAAGACGGGAAGGACTCGAAAGGTGTATTTTGTGAAAAAAAGAAGTGTAGTGAAGTGAAAAGTGCTTCGATTTCCTGTTCATCATAACATCGAAAGACCTCAGACGCGTGAGTGTCTGTACCAAGGTGCAGCACCAAGGTTGATCCTTGAGACCACACAGCTGGACATCACGGGAGGTCCGGTCGGCAAAGGAATGCATCTCAACATTCTGCTTGCGTTGACTTTCTGCGGACTGTAAGTGATATGTATGTGACTTTGGCTACGCGTAAAATAATATCGGAGGAATTCGATTTGAATAAATTTATATAATTACATATTTAAAATGAATAATAGCATAATTGATTTAGATTTTTAAATTTATTAGCATTCGATTAATTAAATAATAATTATCATTGTTAATTTAATTTTTTTTTAATTATAATTGTTAATTTTTTTTTTTTAAATAAAATAAAATAAAATAATTCACAGTTGTGTTTTAATAAATAGATTGAATGAATAGTATAAATAGTAATAGATTGATTGATTGAGTATAAATTGATATATCCAGTTATAATAACATAATAGATTTCTTATTTTATTTTTTTGTTTTCGTTTAAAAAGAAATAAAATAAATAAATTTTAAAAATTGTAATAAATTAATTTTAAATAATTTGATTTAGCACTGCATAATTTAGGGGGATTGCATCCCAGAATATCTAATATAGTTAGGTGTTGTTCTCCTAAAAATCGAAATGAGGCTATTGGTCATGCAATCCCCGAGGAGAAAATTCAACAAACGTTATATAGAAAAGTAGATTCTTAAAAAGAGAGAAAGCTTATTCATAATGGTCCTCAGGACTCAAAAAGATTTTATAAACCTCCTCAAGGTATACAAAACCAATTTACATCAAGACCTTTACAAGGTCAACAATTTCATAGAAATGTTAATGGGCCTTTTCAAAAATCATTTATTTCTAATAATTCATTAGGAGAATAACCAGGTGTTTTTCAAGGGAATAAATTTCAGCCTGCCAATAAGCAAAGCGTTTACTTTATCAAAGATGAAGAATAATATAATCATGAACAAGAAACTTATCCGGACCTATCATGCGACGAAAACGTACAAATTCAATGAAGGTAATGAAAATATCGATAATTAAACGAATAAGGGTCTCGTCTCCGTGTCTGTGGAGACGCCATAGGAAAAAAAGCACGTGTAAAGTATATAAAATTATTAACAATAGTGATACGTATTTACCTCACGTTTTATTAAATATTCACACGTTTAATAAAGATTTCCGATATGTCATAAAGAAGAAGTTCGTAAACAAATAGATAAAATAATTGAACCCTCAGTATCGCCTGGGTCATCATCGATTTGGGTTGTTCCCAAGAAAGTCGATGTTTCAGGAGAAAACAAATGGCGTGTCGTAATTGATTACAGGAAGTTGAATGATATAACAATAGGAGAATCCACATATTATTGAGATGTTAGATCAGCTAGAGAATAGTAAATGTTTTTCGACCCTTGACCTAGCATCAGGTTTTCATCAGATTCAGATAGCACCAGAAGATGCAGATAAAACAGCATTCACAACCCCAGAAGGACATTTTCAATTTAAAAGAATACCATTTGTCCTAAAAAATGCTTCAGCTACGTTTCAAAAATTAATGAATACTGTCCTATCTGGTTTGCAAGGCATTCATTGTTTTTTATTTATTTATATCTGGTTTGCAAGGTATTTATTGTTACGTTTATTTGGATGATGTTGTTATTTATTCATATGATTTAAATTCACATATAGAAAAACTACATAAAGTTTTTGATAGACTACGCCACTTTAATTTAAAACTGCAACCGGATAAATGTGAATTTTTATGTAAAGAAGTAAATTACCACGGACACACAATTACAGACGAAAGAGTTAAACCCTTAAGAGATTTTCTCGTTTCAAGGACTCAAAAGGACATAAAATCATTTTAAGGTCTTATTTCTTACTATCGCAGGCTTATTTCAAACTTTTTTCTTCTTGCGAAACCTTTAACAGCTCTCTTAAAAAGGATGTTAAATTTGATTGGAATAACGAACAGCTGTCGCGTTTGGAACCCTGAAAAGTAAATTATTAATTGCATCTGTACTCTCTTATTAAGATTTTACCAAACCTTTTATACTTACCTGTGATGCATCAAATTATGCAATCTCAGCAATTTTGTCACAGGGAGAAACCACTACCACTTTAGAAATTGATATGATACACATTTAATTAATTTAATAAGTGATCCATGTTGTAACATATTTTAATTAAATAAAATTAAAGATAGTGTCTCCCCTATTCATTTGGAAAATATAAACTTAGACAATTTAAAATATCAAGGGAAAATAATAAATAAACATCTTTTAGATTGAGGTTCCTCATATAATTAGATATGGGACACAATATTCAATTATAATGATTGCCAATTTTATTATTATTATTAGCGTAATATTTTATGTGTTAGGCTAACAAGTTCATTAAAATGTATAAAATAAGAAACTATAAATTACCAGAAAATGACAACAAAAACATAGAATTAAATGTAAAGGCCAATACCACTTTAAATGATGATGAACAGATGGAAGGGCGTAACCTTAACCCCTATCCTACTTTAAAGAGTAATGTTTAATTCCTGAAACTTCGGAAAATTGTCCGAAGTTTTTCTTAATATATAATACGGTTTTATAATACAGTTTAAATATGCAGTTTAAATAGTGAAGTAATTTATATTATTGACTATTATAACATTGTAATTACTAAAAAAAACTTAATCGATCATCGAAGTTAATATACTACATACATATATATAAAGTCATATTATTAAAAAAGTACATGTACAACGGCACAGAACAATTCATGTGCGGTCGCACATAGGTCAAGTGTTCGACTGGCACTTGACCGATTTATTTGATTTATTTATTGAGTGTTTTTTTGTCTTTTAATAAACGTAGGGTTATACTCTTAGGCTTGATGGTTTGACTATTATTATTTGATATATTTAGGTATTATTTTTATTATTTATAGCTTAAAAAGAGTTCTATTCAAAAGAGCCTTCTCTTAGCCTTATTTTCTCTTCGTGGCTTCTTATTTTGGATCGCACCTCAATCAGCTGTTAGGTTTGAGGCTGATCAAGAAAGAGTGGTCAAGAAAGTTAAGAGTTGGACCATTCACGCTTATTTACACAAAAAAAGGTGAACCTCCGTCACTTCGAAAATTAACACAAACACTTCTTTAGCTATAAAATCCCATCAAAATGTTATATATTTTTAAAATTTCACAAAAGCGTTAGCTTTAAATTAAAAAATAATTAGATTTAATATCGCATATAATCTTAATTGATTTATTGACAAAAATATAACTAATATTACAGATTAGGTTCCCAGCGAGGTATTGAGGATGTGAAATTGGTGCCGTTCTTCCGCGGCGTCGACTGGAACCACGTGCGCGAGCGGCCGGCGGCCATTTCTGTGGACGTCAGGTCCATAGACGACACTTCCAATTTCGACGAGTTCCCAGATGTCAAACTCGAAATACGTGAGTTCGATATTTCCTCTGCTATTTGTATATTATGATATTAGAGACCTATCCTAGTCTTCAGATGCGTAATTGTAGGCTAGTTAATAAATACTCCTGGTTATAGTCTATGTGGTAAATTTTATCAAAATCAATCGAATTTTAGCGTGATGGAGTAACAAATATAGACACAATACCATTTTTTTCTTGAGGAAAACCTGCATTTCTAAGAGATGAGAACATATATTCAAAAGACATGTGAAGTCTGCCACACGCACTTGGCCAGCGTGGTGGACTACGACCCGGTCATACTTCCATTGAATGGTGACCCATGTCCAGCAATAGGACTTCAAATACTTATAAGATGAATAAATACTTACAACATAATAATATCTCACGGGCACTTATTACGGGCATGGAGATAGAAGTAACCGAGGTTAGCCCATATACAGAAAACCCACTCAGAAGTGACGGATCCTAGGAGTCCTTAATGTCAAATTCTTAGTTATAACTAGCTCTCACCCTCGCTCCGATCGGGTTCGTCCCTACTTACGTTTTAACGTTTAATATAGATTTCTCAGAGATGATATATTTTCCCGCAGTAAAAAGTATCCTATATGTTGACCTGGATAACCAGCTGTCATCATACCAAATTTAATAGAAATCCCTCCAGTGGTTTTTCTCTGATGCGATCACAGACAGACAAAAATTTTAAAAACTATAGATTCGGTCTCTATGTCGATAATAACGTCTACTTCAATAAGATTTTCGAAAAAATATTTAATTACAGATTCGGCTTTGTTACAATTTTATTATATATTAGTGATATTAGACCGTAGTGCCTTGAACAACTGAACCTAGTTAATTTAGTTATTACGGCAAAACTGAATGAAACTTTTTATCATAAATTATTGAATTAAAACAGGAGGTCTGTCTGCTAGAAGAAAATAAAATGAGACAATCTAAATTCTATCAATTCATTTTATTTTTGCAAAATATTAAAATGTACAATTTTGACTCAGTTTAAATTTTATTGTGTTTCATACATAAAAATGAGGGATACTTGTTTACTTCTAAAATAAAAATCATTACCACCCCTTGACAAAATTCGTCTTGGACTTATTATTGTTTTATTTCCAGCATCAGCGCCCATTGCCCAAGAGGGTGAGATAGCGTACAAAGATTGGGTGTTCATCAACTACACGTTCAAACGCTTCGAGGGTCTCACTCAGCGGGGCACCCCTACCAAGAAATGAGTTATAGTATGAGAGCAGGCCCCCTGACCGGTGTACGTTGACCCCCACCCCTCCCGTACATCGATCAAGTGTTGCACGATCCTGTAAGTTCATAAACAATTACTGGTCTCCATTTCAATGTGATTTTTTTTGGATTAGGCATCTATAGAACTTCTCGAAGTTATCTGTCACATGAGTGTTGTATGTGTTTGTGTGATTCAAGGGGAAGTCATGTACTTATAATTTAATATTGTTTTTTGTGTTTTGTTATTTACATACCTATATACATTATACATATATACTTTGAGGATTATAATTTTTTACACGTCATATTCGATTTCTGTATTTTTTTCTTATTATATTATATAACTCTAATATGTTGGTGATGTTATTTGTAAATATTATGATACATTCGTACATTTGTGAACATTTATGATATGATCTCAACTATCTGTCTGTATTTTGATTCAAATATAATATATTATTAAATATAAAATAAATACTTGTGTGACAGTCACTATGACATGATATTGTAAATATTGGTGTTTAAAAATATTTTCTACAAATGTATGTATAATACATGATTACAATTAATTGTTTTAACAATGGAGATCAAGTACTTTTAGTATACGAATCTGTTTCCAAGTGAAGTGCAACGAATGACCAACTGAATTGGTGTATGTGTGATATTCCCTTTCCGCTTTACCTTCGGACGATAAAACCAATGGGTACGTGTGTCAATGTATACTGGTGGTTTGTAAAAATTTAATGTAAGGTACTATGAGCGTAGAGCATTATGTCAAATGAAACTTGGCCCCAGATTATATTTAACCAAGGTATATTTTAATGAAGTTTTTCAAATTTCAACCAGAGTTCTATTTATACATATTTATTTAAGATTTGTCGTCAAGCAACGAAATTGTTTAACGGGATCAATATCGATTTAATGTACAGAGGAAATAGTTTAAATGTTACATAACGGCAGATTACTATGAAATTTGCTCAAAATTATTATTAAAGTATTACATACAATGAATTATTTAAAATCGGAAATTATGAAACAAATTAATGATGCACTTAAACTTACATTGGCTGTGTCGCACAAAATCTAATATAACGGTGATCACGTCAAAAAACATATAAGTGAATTGTAACAAACAAAAGCAGGAAGTTGTGAACATAAGTATTATTGTTATGTTATAGAAAAAAGTATATTTTGTCTATTTTTTAAATATTCGCTAAGTTTCATTTGAAATTTTAATGCTCCTACCTTAACTGATGAGGCCCCACCGTCGGGCATTACAACACTAAGTGCGGTCTCGTTAAACATACTCAAGCAAAAAAAAACATTTGCTCATAACATTTTTAAGAATCGATTACTGTAGTTTGTAGTTGTAAATTCGCATTTCCTTTGTGACTTTCGGTTAACATTATGTCTTGCCAAAACAGAGAAAACGGCGAGAGCATCATAGATTCGATTTTATTGCGCCTATATTAATTTTGAATTTATTTATAGCAAATCTAATTATTAAATAAGCTGTGACGTGAATCTGCGATGTTCTCTCCCGTTTATATATCAAGAACTGTTTTGTTGGTGACAAGTCTGTACCGGTGACAAATATCGTGTATGAATTTCCAAAAATCGAGCAAATGTACTATTCGAATTTGTATTTATGCATTTGTAATATCTTTGCAAGTACTCACACTCTGAATTCTCTTAACTCATACATTTTACATACAATTTTTGAATTAAATTCTTCGTATTCGAATATATCGATAAATGCTTGTTCCTAATAAATAAAGCCGTATATGCTAAAATCGATTCGGCTCAAACTTCAGATCAAGTCATAGGAGACTGAGTGTGCATAAACCATGAGCTGAATCGGTTCACTAGTTTTTTCGTCACTAACGGACAAACAGACATACCTTTTTAACATATAAAATAGTCATATAACGTTTATATTCATATATAATATTTATGTAAATAATATATTTCACGATATTATTGCTCAGAACATATGTTGGAAAATGTATGCAATAGAATTCCGTCCAAAAGTTGAGTTACTATGGAATAGTAGTTATACATAAATTATCATATGGATGAAGTAAATAACAGTATAGTATTCATTTTAAATTGAAAACATTATTTATTACAAAGCTATGTATTTATATCGTGGAACAAGCATTTTCGGTGGGAGTTTCAAATTAATTGTTATATAAAATTTAACTTTCCTTGCAAAGAATAACGTACATTTAACATCAAGCGACAGCCACGATGAATCTATCTATTAAGAACCTCCCCTATCTCTCTATACACTCTCCTATGAAGTTACCAGTACTGAATTTGATAACATTAAATGTTTGGTAGCTGTGTATTTTAAAAATTGAACCAATTAGAGCTTTTAACTCCTGATAAAATGTGTTAAAATAAGTGAAATTAGTGTTACAATGACTTCCTAGAAAAATCTAGCGCCCTCTATTCCTTAGCGGTAGATCTTGCCTATAGTGTAAGTACAAAATAACCGTAGTGAAATCTATTTGTCTTCATCACCGTGAGTCCTAAACTGACCTATTTCGTAGTAACCGACATCTGTGTTGGAGGGAGACAGATATGTATATTGTTATCTCTCTCTTATATTCAGTGTTCAATTGAATGTTTCAGTATATGTATGTGATGTGACGTCATATTTCGACATGACCATTAGATCTATACGTAAAAACTCTGTGTGATGGCTTCTATGTATTTGCCAACTCGAGAATTATATTTTCTGACATCAATGAATTTTTCCTATAATTGTAATATTATAATAGTCGATGTGTGCAAATACCTAATATAAGGACATTAGAGCATAAACAGCCTTCATATAAGTTAGTGTAGTGTTTGTTAGATTCGATTGTAATATTAAAATAAAATTACTTAATACGTAAGTCATGCCGTTTTGCGCTAGCTTTGTACGCCATCGCCATTACTACCGTGTTACGTATTATAATAAATGTCATGTAACTTGTAATGTGTTCCCGGATATACCTGTAAAATTAAGAACTTATACTATTTAAGGGCAAGACTAGTTCGTACAAGAATGATTTTTTATGTTTGCTTCTCTAGTGTAGTACCTGTAGTTTACTAATATTATAATTCGATGTTGTATAATTTCTAATTCTATATCATTTATTTCATTTAGAACTAATAATTATGGTTTAGTTAAATTATTTAGTTAGTTTAATATTCGTTCCGCTGTGTTCAGCGATATAGCGGAGTTACTTGTTCAATGGCATTGAAAACAAACCTTGTAACAATACTATCTTAGATTTACGCGAATATTTGACATTTAAAATAAAACTATTTTTTCGGATTATTTCGCGGATTAATTTTGTTTTTTTTTTTGTAAAATAGTAGGTAGGCACTGTAGTAGGTGTCTGTAACAAGTATATGTGTTTGAGACGTCTATAACTTTTTTTTTATCGTCGGCAAACGCATACCACCTGATCCCCCAGGTGGTGATGTGGGGCTCACCGACTAGAAGAGCCGGTACTACCCACTAAAACCCGACATCCCTTCCCCCCGCCTTCGTGGGACGTGCCTAAGCGCTAGGCAGACCACCAAACCAATGGGGCTGCTCCACAGTCAACTCTGCTACGCCAGAGAGGTACCCGGAGCAGCCCCATTATACCTAACCTCCGGTTACCACCACCGGTGGCTGCAACGCCTTCCGTTCGAGGCCTAGACGAGCGGCCCCACCCAAGCCATTTGGCCCGCGCCGGATTTCTCCGGTACCACCCGCCGCCCTAAGCGGGTGGCATTCCCCTATCCGCCATCTGGGGACGAGCCCGGTAGGAGTTGGCTTCACCCCCGGGGAGTCGTCTATAACCTTAGTCTCTCCGGTGACCATGATTGCTGTAAAGCATTCGAAACGTCGGGAATCAAAAATCGAAATAAATCCGCGAAATAATTCGAAAAGATAGTTTTATTTAAAATCCTTGTAATAGTTCTGATTTTTTTTTCTTCAATCCTTTCAATCTGCTTTTTTATAAGTGTCATTTTCGGCGTCCCACATAGATGATATTTAACAAGAGTGAACTATTTATATTAATATGCGTTTCGACGTAATGCAATTTGTATGTGTTGTAGGTTAAGGGTATGCAGTTAAGTGGAAGGCTTGCGCGGTTCTGTTATCGGTGTTTCGTAATAGAGTATTTGACGAAGGAGTAGCCTTAAGACATTTCTACCGTAACCTACCATCCATGTGACCCTGATATTTATTTAAGTGGATATAAAAACATGGGATACGACTTTAGTGCATTGGTCTTACTAGAAAAATTTCTCTCGTTGAGCGTGTAGAAACTTCATAATAACCGTCTTCGATATGCCAAAGCACGTCCTTGTTATTATATCGATAGATATATAGAAAATCTCGCGGTTATTGTCTCGCTCACACCTATGCGTATGTGTGTAGGTGTGAGCGAAATAGCCGTGCTCCCTATATATCCAATGTACTGTCACTTAATATAAATGTTACTTGCACTCATTACAATTCAATGTTCATGTTCAGTGTCTATGAGATATAAGAATGCCTCATTATAAGTGACGTTTTAATTAAATTTTATCTATTTCGCTTTGTTATTGTTATCGATAAAAAAATATGAATTATTTAATTTTATCTCAAATTTATTTATTTTTTCCTAAATATTTCTTTTCAGCTTTATTGACACGAGCTTTAGTCATTCAGCTTTACATACTGTGTTTGGTTGGACATTTCTATTGTTTCATGTAACGCCTACTTTATTCTGTACGTAAAAGGAATTTTTGACTAAATCATTGTTGAAATGTTTTCGTTGCAATTTATTTAATTTGCTTTAATCAACACCTATCTTGAAATTATAAAATTAAAAGTTAATATTTTTTACTTGGGTGTTGTAATATTTATTCTTAATAACCCTAAATCCTGAATATCTATTGAAATAAAGCAAAGAGTATTAAATTAATGTATATTTTTATTTATTGTGTCTGCAGCACTTCTTTGGTTTGTTTGTTGTAAAAAAACTAAGTCGATCCCAATGGTGAATCCATTGGGTTTAAGGGTTAGTTAATAAGCAACCTATGTCACTCTCTGGCCCAGAAACTATCTTAATATACGTCAATCCCTTGTTTTCTACTGCGAGAAAAAAGTCTATCGTTTATACTACTATTAAAAAAAGAAAAAAAGTTTTTTTTGTATGTTTGTATGTTTCTTTGTAATCGATAAACTAAAAATCCGCTGAACCGCTTTAGATAAAAAATATTTATGAAGATAGTGTAAGGCCCTGGGAAGCACAAAGGATAGTTTTAATAAAATAAATTAACTACCAACGTTCCGTTTAACTAATTATGTGTCTTGTGTTTTTTCTCACAAAATGGATCTGGAGAGAATTCAGTATACACTTTTTTTATCTGTACATGTAATAAAACACTAACTTAGCGAAATCAGTACATTAAATATTTTTTAACTAATGACGTAATGTGTACTGAATATAGAACCCAAAACAATAGTTATTAAAAATTTTGTCTGCATGTCTGTTTGTGTGTGCGCCTTTCACGCAAGATTTTGTGTAGTGATAATAACTTGTTACTCGGGTCAACATTTAGGATACATTTTACTGCAGGATTTTTTTTCATTCTCACGGGAAAATACAATAACTGGTACTATCGAATCGTTCTTCGAAAGCTACCGCTGGCTAAACCTTGGAAGCTATGTACTAGGGAAGAAATCGTAAAAGATACTAGGATACTAAAATAAAAGCAATGTACTAAGTAATTGTACGTCTTAAAAAGGTCTACAGACAAATCTGCAACAGCATAAGTCTTTCTCCTAAGGTACACTCGCAATCACTATTCATCTATACATATAATAAAATTGAAACTAAGCCGAATCTGTACATAATATTTTTTGGAAAATCTTATTGAAACAAACATTATTATCGATACAGAGGCCGAATCTATAATTTTTAGAATTTTTGTCTGTCTGTCTGTCTGTTACCGCATTACGGAAAAACCACTAGAGGGATTTTGATAAAATTTGGTATGATGATAGCTGGTTATCCGGATCAACATATAGGATATTTTTTACCGCGGGAAAATATCTCATTTCCGAGAAAAATACAAATAATGCATTGTAAGACTATACTAATATTTTATATATTTATATATACCTAAGAATTTGGTTTTTGGTCATCTGAACGCGAGCGGAACCGCGGGCAATGCTAGTATTTATATAAAGCGCCTAGGGACGCACCCGAGCGAAGCGAGGTTAAGTCACTAACTAGTTCATAATAAAATATGAGTGTGGTATTAACAATTTTTTTCTTCCAGATCTTTTTCTGAAAATCTTTATCGATAAAATATTCGAATGTTGTCACTTTCTAGACGGATAAAAATAATTTCTTTTTTTTAATCTCGCAATGTCTTTACATATTCACCAGTAAGAACTAGATATCTATTGTATTAATGCTAGGCTTTCAATTGGGTAAAAGTTAATAAAAGGTGATGACATTTTCGAATTATGAATTTAAAGGTAAATGTGACGGGTCCATCAGCATCCATCATCAATTACAGCATCACAGACTATGGAGTCTGAATGATAAATATTTCAGGTGGATTTAACTAATTTTGTACTTATAAATAAATACGATCAAACTCGTTTATTATCGGGATAGGGAAAGAAAAGTGTTCACATCGAGTGGGGCTTGAACTCCCCATCTCTACTATTAACATCGCTACAATCGCCTTATTTGACCTACAAGTAGGTATTTATGTCCTATTGTATTTATTGAAATCTATGTATTTTAATTTAGGGTAGAAGTAAACAAAATAAGTTATATTGTATTCTTTTATTTCAAATTTAGCAAATCATAAACTAATCAGATCATGAATTAGCAACGTATCTAAGAAATATGAACAAAATACAACTAACTATAAAACCGGGAATGGATAGCCAGACTTGTGGATAAACTTTTAAGAAAATATAAATGCATATCCTGGCTGCCTTATCTTACATATAGAAGCTTGTAATATGAGCACGCAATTCTTGTATGAACTATCTAAACAGTACGCAGCATTTTAAGATAAGATTCGTGCTCTTTTTTACAACTAAAGTATATAAACAAAATTATCACAAATAAAAAGAACGCAAATGCTGAGTAAATGCAAGTTCGCGTGGTGCCAATTTTTTTATTTTATGGCCTAAAGACTTGAACGGTTCAAGAAAATTTGTCTAAAAACAAAAAATAATAATTTAAGCATATGAAAGTTCTGGTCTCTTGGCGTGTGTATAATTTACTTACGGCTTGATTGTTGCAATTTGCAGAGACCAAAACATTCTAGAATTGTTATAGTTTTGGATTACTTTGTTTAACAAAAAGAAAATATCTAAAGGACAGGCTGTAACAATCTCTTTTGATTTTTCTTTGCAATTTGAGCAAAACTAATTGTGTCGCAATAAACCTTAAAACTAATAGAGTCAAATTGAATCTGATATGTATAATGAAACTTGTCTCACGACAACGCCTGTTTCTCCGTTTTGTTCCTTTTTTTTTGAAAATTCTTATAAAATTATTCTGTTTTTTTTTATTTCTCTAAAAAAATGTATCTTGAATCTCAGAATTTTAAATCGATATTCATTATACATACACATTTTTAAATATACATAAGAAACTCACAGATAAAAATCTTAAAAATAGAAACAGAAAAAACGAAAACATAAAAAATGCATTGCAACTTCCCAAACGAATTACGAATAATTTTAACTAAAAGAATATACTTTTAAATGATAACAACTTATAAAATAACAATTTTGATAAACGATTGTAAGAAAATAGTAACTAATATTAACATTGACACAAGCAAGGGCCAAGGAGTATAAACTATGGCCATGGGCAACCAATAAGGCCATAAAATGTAAGAACAGTACTACTCTTTTGTAGTACTACTCTTTGTATTTTAACATAAAATTTATAGTTTTTGGATTTTGTAAAATTGTTTTGCAATAGCTGTAAGTTTGACTCATCTATTTGAGGTTAAATTAATACTTAAAAATTAATTAATTATTTAAAAAAAAGGTCTGCCGTAATCGTTCATACAAAAAATCTTTTCTTAAAGTAAATAAAATACAAACGTAAAAAAATATTTCAATCATCCTGGCACATATTTTTTAACCTTAGGAACTCGGAAAATATAAAGCAAACGACTCTACGACAAAGATTAGAACAAGAATGCTAAATAAATGCGTGCCTCCTATTAGCCCTCATCTATCACATTACATAAATTAATACTAAATTATCGGGAAAATCTATACATAATTGGGATGTATGGGTATACCAAAAATAAACTAAATTATTCTATGATAAAGTAACAGTTATATGTAGGTATATGTATAATTAATGTATATTAAATACGATATTGTTAAATAAGCTACCTGCTTGAACCCACCACCATATATGAGGGATGATACCGTTGAGATGTGATAGCAACCCTTAAATTTCCACTTAGCACTTAAATCAATACAATGGCTTCGAGAGCGAATCATATTAGCTTTATTTTGATGGTTACATATTTATATTCGTCTTTTATCTCTCTCTGCCTATAAGTCTTATATTCATAAAAGTAAATGCCTCTCAAAACATCAACACGAATCTTGTGGGTTCTTTAAATTTCGTTCTTGAATAACATAGACACCGATTTATTGCAATTATCATTGTGATAACATCGAAGCTAACTATTTATCCTTAGTGATCGTTAGAAATCCAAAGTATTTAGTTAAGAAGTGAAATTTAGGAAAAGTCCGAATAGCTTGAGGCATTTAACATCTAAGGAGTACATTTTAGCCCTGTACTTGGGATATAGGTGCCGAGGCTCGTTCAGATTCGGTGGACTCGTCCTCTTCGCCCTTGGGGATGTCAAATATTTCAGAGAAGAGGGCGGGAAGGACTAGTCGCGGCCAGTTGACGCGGCACCAGGTTAAAAGTTCATTATGTCGGGCGCCCAATGTACGAACTTCTTGGGCTGCTAAAGCGAACGCATCGAGGCGAGCTTTCACGTCTGGAACTCCAGCTTCTGTAAACTTTAGAAGTAAAACATTTTTAAATATGTTTGCATTTAGAAACAATGTTGCCATTATAACATTGAATCTGAAACTTTATTTCATTTGTATCGATTTAACGTAATCAATGCCGTGTCGTTTTTTCATTTTTACTTATTGATTCTGCCATAAATATTTAGTATCATTCAATACTAACCACGTGTTTAAGTGCTTCACCGATGTTAGTATAGAGGGTGGTTATTCTGTCACGATCGCTTAGTCCATTGCGCAAGGGGCTGATCAACAAACTGGCGGAGTACACCGCCAGTTCATCGTCAGACGTTGCCAAATTCGTGATTTGAGCAACGTATGACAACATAGCGTTAGCGAACTGGGTCTGAAACAATACAATAATTTATTATACTACTAGCATTGCCCCCGGCTCCGCTCGCGTTCAGATGACAAAAAACCAAATTTGTAGGTTTTACTTAATAGTATACTCTTTCGTTGCAGTTTTTGTATTTTTTCTCAGAAATTAGATATTTTCCCGCGGTCCCAGGTCGTGGTAGGGGTGGGGGGGGGTCAGTAGTGCCCGGCAATGTAGCCGGGCACGAAGCCAAGAAATGCACAGGGAGGTGGCCCACTTCGGTGGGAGGTGGCCCTCTTCGGTGGGCGGTGAACCATGCGGGTTGCTCCTGGTACTTCTCTGAGAGCAGAGTGAACCTTGGAGCAACCCCATAGTTGTTTTGGTCTGCTTCGGCAGACCTGCCGTCGGGGCGTCGTAGTTGAATGCGTAAGCGATCCTACGACGCCCCATTAAGACGGGGGAAGGTTTTGTTGGGTTTTAGTGGGGAGTACTGGTTTTGCCGGTGAGTCCCACACCTCGTGAGTAAATGCATTTCCCAACGTTAAAAAAAACCAGCTATCACCATACAATATACCAAATTTCATCAAAATCCCTCCAGTGGTTTTTCTGTTATGCGGTAACAGACAGACAGACAAAAATTCTAAAAACTATAGATTCGGCCTCTGTATCGATAATAATGTTTATTTCAATAAGATTTTCCAAAAAATATTTAATGTACAGATTCGGCTTAGTTACAATTTGATTATATGTGTAGATTACTAAATACTGTTTGTTATATCTCGATTATGCATAATTAACTATGGCTTTTCCAGAAAAGCAGGCACCCTAATGTAATGCATAATCAAAGTTGTAAGAGGCTAGATTTATGGTAATTGAAAAGTTTATTTAATAATAGATGTAAAGTCACTTCTACTTAGAAGAGAGTGCATTTTCATTCGTCCATCTCGTAATCCTTTACGTGCTCCCTTTATAGCATATAAGGTTATTTTAACGAAACCCAATGTAGTTTTATGGTGACTCGAGACTCGAATCGAGAATCTCCAAATTTGCTGCCTTGCGAGCTAGCCAGTATACTAACAAAACAGATGCATAATATACATACATCATAGATGGTTTCTAGCTGGGTCAGGCTGACGGCGGTACCGTCGTCGAATACGATGTTAGTGGCCGAGGATAGCTTGGTGGCTCGTGACAGCCACACCTCGAAGAATCCTAACTGTGGACATATTAAACTGCCAGTTGTTTCCACAAAAGTTACGATTAAAGTCAAAAAATAACTAATAAAATATTACACTAGCTAGGCTTAAATAGTAGGATTAAACAATAATAAATTCACAAGTCGCACTGCAATTTGTTCGCTTGTAACAATTCGCATTATTTGCGTTCGCAAAATAATTGAATTCGCAATCTATGTGATCAAATAAATAAACTAAAATTATAACGAAATTTGAATTGTTGAAATCAGTTACATAGTCCTATTAGTTTCTTTCAATATTTTACCTTAATTAGAATAAGTTGGTCATCTTGAGGCAGAGAGGTGAATCCGGGTATTCTTTTGGCGAATTCCACCACCTGTTGTACTGATGGTGTCATTCTATAGGCCACATTGTACCATAGCATGGACAGCGTGTCCATTGTATGGCCTGTCGTGGAGCTGGCGGCTTCTTCACTGCCGCTCCCTGAGTAGATCATAAAAAGCACCCATTTAAAAGCTTATATAGTAGACTAACTGAAACTATTACTATTAAAAAATGTTATATTCCTAGTGAAAAAGTTTTGTTTCGAATTAAAATTTTACCATGTGTTTATAATAATTTTATTAATTTAATAATAGGTTTCTAAAGAAGGTAACTAAACAATATAGGTATATTTAGTAAGCACTAGTGCAGTCACCTAGTTTCCTAAAATGATGATCGACAGTTGTCACACGCATAATGACTGAGCTCGGTACTGATTTGATTATCAAATGGAAATTTTAGAACAAGTACATATATGTATGTGTGTAAACATTAATCTAATGTATAGAATGCGAGCGTCGAACTACACATTTCCTTTGCAATCGATCAATGAATTGACATGATTACAACTAATGCAATATCATTAGACGCAATCACGTACTCAAAAGTTTACCTTCTGTGTCAGATTCTTCTGTTTTGACTTCGACATTTCTTATTTGTAGTGTAGATTTCACTTCGTCCGTGTAAGTGTTATTGGTTCGGTGAGCAGCGATAATAACTTTGGCCAGGTCCGTGATGAAGTCTTGTTGTATAGGGTCCGGATCCATTTCTTCTATAGGCGGCGGATCCGGCTGCGGGGGCGGCGCCGAACCCGACGCCATATTTTTAGATATCTCTGCAGTGTGCTCTGTATTTGTCGCTTCTCTCGGTCTCTTTGGAACTCTTCCGTATCTGACCGCTGGGAAAAACCTCTCATTTATAAAGATTGAATGCGATTGAATAGTTCCGATGCAAATTGTGAACTGCGGTGCATCTATCGGGTCGGGGCTCGATTCCTCAATTGGAAAATAGGCGTGACGGTGCAGTGCGTTGATCTGTGCTCTATTTTGTTTTCCAATATTAGCAAATAGGGTGCATTATATGCGAGTGAAGTGCAATAAAACATTGCAACAACGCGTCCCTAACTACCTAGTTAGTCTCTCAATAAAACCGTGTTGGTACCTTTAAACAATGGGAATGTTTTATTCGGTGTTTCGCTTTATACTTTCGATTCTGTTAATAATAATTTTGATTCAGTTGATTCTTAAAATATTAGATATTGTAATTATTGAAATATTAATTTTATTTTAATAATAAGAGTTTATTTTTCACTGTAGAGCTTACCATTTTTAGATTCTATAATAAACTTAAATAAGCCCCCTTAACTAGTTTTCACGCTCCCTAATAATCTTCGTAAATAACTGACTAAAGTGAAATTATGTTCCTTATTGGAACGAAGTTCCTTATCGCACGCTGTACTCGGTGCACTTGGCGGTAGTAAGTGATTCGTTTGTATGAATCCTGGTGAGTTATGTCAATGTTTGTTCCAAACTTGCTGTTTGACCAGAACGAATACGAAATACACATTATGTAAGTTCAAAACAGTTAATAGCCTCTTTACGAGTATTTTCATTCTATATATTTAATTAGATGATGGTGGGTACTTACAGTCGCGGCTCATGCCAACCGCGAGGCACTTTTTAAACCGGCAGAACTGGCAGCGGTTCCTGTTCAGCCGGATCACAAGACACTTACCGTCGCGAAGGCAACGGTATTCTATTTGCTTCTGGATGCTCCTTCGAAAAAAGCCCTGTAAAACCAATTCTTTAATAATACGAGAGAAGTGTTATATTTTAATAGACTAGATTCATAATGTAACAAATAGATATATGAAAAAGCTAATTTTAATGGGTTGAATGTGTTTAAATCTACGACTTATTATTTATTCGTAGGTTTAAATTTATATCTCGCGCTTTTCAGTCACTCCAGTTTAAAATAAAGCAAGTGTCAAAATTGTCTGGAGGCTGAATGTTAAACGGAAGATATTCGCATTGTTCACGTTTCGTGTACGGTCTGATAGCTTAATATAAGCTTTTACTTGAAGATCTACTAGAGTTCGCAGAGTGGTCAAACTTTGACCATTATTATTATTGATTTTTTTATTTATAAAAGAAAAGCTCGTCAATAGCTATTTAACTAAAACAAAAAATAAACAGATCGGTTCACAAACAAAATGTTTATTTTAACTAATTAAATGTACTTCTAATGTATTTTATACAAAAAATATTAGCTTTGTACACTACTATATCTCCACAGAAATTTTAACTGTGTCTAATTTCACATTCCTCCGTCCGCGTAATTTTCTGAAAAAGCGATACAAAGTTTTTGCTTCACGTATTAATACATAATTCTCAATTTGACCACAGAGTTTAACAATAAACAAAAGAGTATATATGCGTGTGTGTGTCAAATACATGGTACTCGTAGTAGTGCAAAGTTTTTTTTTATTGATTTAATGTATTTTTATGCATAATTTTAAAAAAATATTAGTATTCTGCACTCCTCTATATAAACTATAAGTGTGGGAAATTTCTTAATCCTCCGTCCGCACAATTTTCGTAAAAAGGGGCACAAAGTTATTGCTTCATGTATTCATATAGATAATATATCAATAATCATTTTACGATTTTGGTTAAAACATAAATATTGAGTATAATATGAACTAACAGTATAAGATATCTAAATTTTTCAATTATAAATATCAATTGTACGAGTAAATCATCTTTCAAACAATTCTTTGAGGTTTGGTTTCACTAATGAATTCTATTAAAACTTTTTCTCTTAGTAAAAAATAATTAAAGCCTGGATTTTGTGATTCGCCAACATAAAAGCTTCCTGGGGAAAAATGAATAGTTGTGTAAAAGTGGTGAACGAAGTTATTTATACTACTTTAGTGGAGAATATTAATAAATGTAATAAAATAATCACATAAGATATGCAATGTAAACACCTTCTACTGTACCTATTTGACATATAATATGCTGTTAGCAAATTATGTAAAAGCTCTCTTCAGTATGTATACATTTTCAAAATATACCTTTAATTTATTTTAATATTTTTTGACTTCATATACCTAATTAGTTGAATTCAGTTATTTAGACATAATTACATACTTAATAAATATATTATATTCACTTTTGAATTTGTTTTTTTGCAGATTTTTATTTCAATCTTTTAATTTATTTTAAGCATCTTAAACACTTAGTTCTGATGACATGTTATTATTAGAAATATTACTATATTAATTGATAACTTTGAGACGGATCTAGATACCATTAGGGCCATTGCGAAATCTGAACAAATTAAGGAGTTATAATACAACTAAAAGCCTCTACTATTCCTGAAATCTAGATTAAACATTTAACTTAATACTTCATTTTGAAAATGAATAAGCCACGTAAAACAACATTACTAAACAAGTTTCAGTCAATTAAGCTTTACATTTGCACCTATGCATAGTTAATGCTAAGCTTTTCTGGTCCCGTATCTATAAACGGACTCATGTAGAGAGAGCCTGTGTAAGAGCATAATATCGATAAATTTTTACGTTCACGTAAAAATTTTCAAGTGAAATCGAATTTGAATACCCGTACCATATATGGAATAATTCTGAAGTAACTCGATAGAGAGAATAGCCGCATGGTTATTTGTCATGTTTCGTTCTATAGTTAATATAGTAAACTGTAACGAAAATCGAGGTGAGGCGAGGCAACTCAGGCGAGTTGTAATGGATTCACAAAATTCAATAACTTCCGCCAGTCTAGGTGTTCATTATAGGTGCCAGTCGGCAGTCCCTATTTTCACCGTTGCAGGATATGGCTACCAAACAAGTTTAACGTTGGCTATTAAACATTTTAAGCTTTTACTCTAAGACTAATAAAAATATTATTTATTTATTTTATATGATTCTTAATAAAGTGATATTAATTTAAAATAAAAAATAGTGAAAAAAGTGAAATCAGTACATGAAATATTTTTAAACATAATTTCGGGTAATTCTGATTATAAATAATTTTTCGCACATATAAGCTTTATTATTCCCTTTTAACCTTTTAAGGGATGAATTTTGGACAAATGTAATAAATATATTTCTTATTTTTTATTTTTAAAGTCAACTACTACTTTCCGTGCATTTCACATTAAGAATGGTAGAGTTTCATACAATTTTTCATCCCCTATTTGACTCCCTTAGAGGATGAATTTCGAAAATTTCTTTCTTATTGGATGACACATAGAATTACATCTTGATACGAGGGACACTTCCTCGAAAATTTACGTTTCTACAACTAGCTGCTTACTGCTTAGGCTGTTCGAATTATATTCAATTTGATTAATAGTGAATCATATGTAAAAATGGTACAATGCATTGTTTGTTGTTGCTATGCTTTTGCCTCAATATTTGATATTTATCATTTGAGGGTTTCATATTCATTTTATAGTAGTATAAGTAGGTATGTTATTGAGTTTATTATATCTCACACTAACTACTAACAGTTTTATAATATTCAATATTTGAGAAATTCCAGTACTTCATAATTCAAGTAATCACCTGATAATGGCTGCAGAACTATAGATACATAGAGCAGGTTCCCAGTAGAATATAACAAAAAGGTACACAACTTAACAAAAGATATACCTTTTGTTTTTTACCTTATCATGTAAAATGAATAATTTACAAATTTTATTTAACATTGAAATAGCCTGAATCTCTTGAAGATCTCCGGATCTGCTAAACCAATAACTTGGGAGGATCGAAGCGAAGAGAGGGCAAGTCGCTAGTTCAATCTACATATGTTCAAATAATTCTAACATTTGCTCTCAAAATCAATATTCTCTACAGTAAACTGAAAACAAAGTTCCAAGCAAACAAATTATAGAGTAAAGTTCTCTTACATTAGATTTCTCTATTATTGGCTTCTCCGCCAACCCGCACTTGGCCAGCGTGGTGGACTATGGCCTGATCCCCCTTGTATTGAAGGGAGGCCCGTGCCCAGCAGTGGGACGTTAAAAAGGGCTGAATACATTATTGGCTTCGTATATGTGTACATATGTCTAAGGTAGCCTTTGTAACATTGTACCTATGTATTTGTTCAACCTAATAAAAAGAAACTTTCCACACATACTGATAGCAAGAAGCTCATTTTGATTTGGTCATATCATTAAATCTCATACTAGAGTAAGAAAAATCAAAAACGTCCAATTACAAAACATTTTTTTTTGAAACTTATGTTACTATACTCTATCGATAAGTTCTCGATATTATTTATGAAAAAAACTTATTAAAACAACGTTGTTGTCCAATCGGTATCCAGTTTGGAAACAAAATATTGAAAACCCGAACTTTTATGATTTTAAAATGTCAGCAAGTATATATTAAAATAATTAATACGTGAAGCAAAAACTTGTACGCCTTTTTAAGAAAATTATGCAAACGGAGGAATATGAAATTTCCCACAATTAGAGTTTACTAGCGAAACCCGCGGCTTCGCTCGCGCTAAAACTACAAAAAAATCTCTAAAAAGGTAGTTTCATGCAAACTTTCATCCTCTATTTTCCCCCTTATAGGATAAATTTTAAAAACACGTACTTTTTTAATTTTTATGAAGAGCATTAATACCTAGTTTCAAGTAATTCTGATGAAAAATATTTTTTGGGATTGTATTATAAAGTGTTTTCCAGTTGGAATTAGGTAAACTCGCGCGATGAAAAGAATCTTATGTCACTCTCCAGCCCTCCAACTATCTCCACACAAAAAATCACGCCAATCCGTCACTCAGTTTCGATGTAAAAGAAGGAGAAACAAACAAACACTTTCACATTTATAATATTAGTATGGATATAGAGAAGGAGTGCAGAATGTAAATATTTTTTTTTAAATTATGCATAAAAAATACATTAAATCCATAAAAAAAAACATTATACAAACTTGTTTGCATTGATTTGCATGAAAAATTTACACAAACACCATGTATTGGCACACACATGCATTATACTCTATTACGTAACTGCCTCGGTGGTGTAGTGGCTAGCATGTACGGCTGCATACCCGGAGGTCCTGGGTTCGAGTCCCGGGTCGGGCCAAGTTTAGCTATTGAGTCTTTCTGTATAGTAAGCCTCAGTAACAGCCCGGAGTTGGGAAGTTGGCGGTATTTCACCCCCGTGCCTCGGAGAGCACGTAAAGCCGTCGGTCCTGCGCCTTAACTCTCACCGGTCGTGTCGAGTGGTCGTCCCACCGGAGTATGAGAGTGACAGGAATAGATAGTGCACGTTGTGTCTGCGCGTACACTTGTGCACTATAATATCTCCTGCGCAGTTGGTTAGTCTCAAAGAGATTGGCCGCCGTGGCCGGAATCGGTCAGGATAACATCATCATCAACATCATCATACTCTATTATTTATTGTTAAAGTCTGTGATCAAATTGAGAATTATGTATTAATACGTGAAGCAAAAACTTTGTATCCCTCTTTAAGAAAAGTCAATAATAATCATGGCCGAAGTACGACCGCTCGGCGGACTCTAGTTAGGAATAGAAATCCCCAGCTACTCCCGAGAAATGGAGGGACGGAAAGCTTGAAAAACAGTATTTTCAATTTCCGGCTTACTGTGACGTTCTATCGAAAAATATTTTCAACAAAAGTTTTAGGTCTAAAAAAATACGCAACTTTTGTAGATAACACTTTTTACAATAACCACAAAGTTTTTGAGATATTTTGCAAAAACGCAAAAACCTCGGTTTATAATTTTTCTTGGTTTTTTATTTTTAATTTCTAGAATAATCTTTTGATTTTCATGAAACTAAGAAAATGTAATCTAAGAAAATGTATAATAAATAATAAAATTGAAATTGAAATGTTTAGCCATTTCCGAGAAACGTATGTTTTATGGTCGCGAGAGGTTGAAAATCACCCCAACTTCAAGTGTATTCTTATATGCCTGCTAACATTTCAAAATTATAAAACTTCAGGTTTTCAATATATATATTTTTCTCTTAAAAATAAACCTTTTCCGATTGGTCTATATGATGAAAAAGAAGAACAATAAAGTACTTTCGTAAAAAAAATATTATAACAAAATTTTGTTAAAGTTACCAAATTTCCCTTTACTTCAGTATTTCTCAATTCAGTATTTTGACATTTATACAATATATAAAAGTTTGAAAAAACATACATTTAATATAATAGAGCATTTATCGAGCTTCTCGTATCTGAAGTGACGCAATGATAAACTTTTATTTCTTTTCAAAGGAAAACCTAGTCATCCCTCAAATATTTTGCACCATCCAGTAGGTGAATAACACAATGATGTTTTTATATTATCTTTTATTATATTCTTAACCTGTTTTAATGTATCGATTTTTGAGCAAGGTATTTTTTTACACAGTAAGTGACAGTGGCGAAGGGTGAAATTTTAGCAGAGATAAGCAGTGCCAAAAATATACAATTTTTATATACGTATGAATGCAGAAAGAAATAAAGCTTATATATATATATATATATATATATATATATATATATATATATATATATATATAAGAGAATTTATACATACAAAAAATTAAATGTATGTAAAATTATAGCAAAATAATTTTAAGGTAAGACGTCTTGTATGGACGCTTCGCCACTGCTCTAAGTGATCAGATTTAGATCATAGAATTCTCCACATATTTTCGCATGCGGTATTTGTAGCGGTAGGTAACGCACCTTAGCAATAACAACTTTGTAACATAATATAATTTTTACTGTAATATTGTAATTACCACTGGTGAATCTTAATAAAATAAAAGTAATCCACCAGTAAACTTTTTGCTATATATTTACTATCCCTAGGAAGCATTTCGATAAGATATTGAGACAAGTTAGTTTAAAAGCTCAGTATTATGTATCTGTCTATAAAATATTTTTAGAATGGATTAGTAGTTCCAAACTTCACTACTTTATAATATCCATATAGATAATCCTTATTATCCTACTATTCGAGTCAACGTTTAACAGAAACCGGAACAGCTTTTAAATCAATTTGTTGCTTCGGCCACAATGTAAATATGCAATTTCGTGTTCAAATTAATAAATAATTACGTGCAAATTGTGCATCGAGTTTAAATATAATATATAATGTTATAATTACAGTAATTTAATTTTTATATATATAATAAATATGCAATTTCGTGTACAAATTAATAAATAATTACGTGCAAATTGTGCATCGAGTTTAATTCACGAAACAAAGGCCTTAAATTTTAAAATTACTAATATTCATTTATGCAATGTTTACCAAATATTCATTCATGTAAAAAACATAAAAACTTTCCTTATTATATTAGTACTTAGTCTTACTTAGATACTTAGCTAAAATAGTCGTATTATATAGTTGACTAATAATAAGTAACGTTTTTATATCATTTTCAATTTTTCACAGGTTAGGCATGTAAATTGGAGCTATGAACATTAGTGACAGCGAAGCTAAAAGTAGTAATGTGTAAATAAAGTCTTAAATATAAACCTAAAAACGTGGCTTCATGGAAGTGAAATTGTCTTATGGTCAGGTGGATTTCTAGTTCACATTTACCTTTTACATCTAATTTTGATTTCGCGCTGCGAATTGACAGCTGTGGTCGGTGGAACAGTGAACGGTTATTTTTACTCCCCAATAAAGATTAAAGTAGACTTTGGCTAAAGCTTTACGAGCTTTTAAACTGTTATTACGTTTCGATGAAAGCGGGAGCTATTGTCAAAATCCCATGACATCCCATGGAATGTATTGCGTCTGGGCCCATTTTAGCCATCAGTATTTATAAGCCTATTGTTTTCCCTTGACAATGCAAATTTCGGTAAATGTAAAATATTTCATCATCATACAGTAACTGAAGCAACTAAATTGGGATTATGAAAAAAATCAACTATTCGCTATGCAGAATTTAAAGAGAACATTTAAAGAGTTATATAAAAATTTCTTTGTAAAAGTTAAAAAATAAAATATAAGATATAACTTCGTTTTGACCAATTGTTACTGAAAAAAGGTTATTACTTATGCTGTTTATTCTAACATTTTAAATACTGTAATAGACTAAATATTTTAAATTTTATTTTTTAATATTTAAAATATTCAATTCCCAGACATCCTGTCTATAATTGAATATTAAATTAAGATTTAAGTACTATTTTTATATTTTACTAATGTAATATGTAACTGATTAACTTAGCTTTGCTCGTTTCGGGTCGCATTTAAAATACACACAGCGAAAAAAATTTTTTTTGGGCCAGGAATATTTGCGGGTATCGCAGAACAACTCACCAAAGTTTCATCACATTCGGATGGCCGGTTTAAGAACGCAAATGGTACTAACATACAAACAAACATTCATTTTTATTTTTACTGAGATAGATTATTATTTGTCATTTCTTAGTCATATTAGATATCGAATTTTATGTAAAATATAAGCTAAAATTTTAATAAGTTTAGATAATGTCCCAACAGATTTATTTATTCAAAGTAGAAACGAGCTAGTATTAATCATGTGAAATAAAGTTAGAAATTTGTTTTAAACTGGCGCTTCATTCGCTGAGTTATAAAAGCAGTTTGTTATAATAATTTAACGAAAGTTGAAAACCAAACACTCGCGCATGAATATACGTACATTAAATTTAGTAAATAAACCATTTAAAGTACAATAATTTACACATGCTACTAAAACAATATGCAAATATGGTAATATTACTATCGTTTCCGGCTTTGAATGAGATGAATGCAGAAAAGGTTGCGAATTCAAATTTTACATTGCTAATATTCTTATTTTTGCGATCAGAGAGTAGAGATTAAGTGCAAGTTTTTGGTTCGTTTAAGTACGCGATATAATTGTATATTTATTTTATAAATAATAAACGGCGACAATAAATAGATTCAAAATTTATACAAAAATAAGTTTAGATCAAAATTGTTTTAAGAATTACAACCCTCTAAAGGACATAATATATTTAAGATATAAAAAAGAAACTTAATCGAAAAAATTAACAACAACTCGTGTAGTATATAATATTATATTATAGTTAAACTATATTGAATTTTTAATACGTGATTTATAATTAATTAATGTTACTACGTTTCCAAATTTTTAATAATAATGAAATAAATTATAATGCATGTAAACTAATTGCAGTAATTAAAAAAAATATAATTTTACGTATTGTAAATATCATTTTTGTTTTGTTTTTTGTACATTTTGTATGAAATGTAACACAAAGTAATTAATTTTATCGTTTTTAAAAAATTTGGTCCAATGAAAATTTTATTTAGATTACATAAATTAAAAAATATGTAAATAAATATTTTAAACTTTAGCTATAACCTAATAAATTAAAGATATTTATTAATGGGATGCTCATTGATTTTGCTATCACTATTTATCGCTTGAATGAAATGAATACTACTACTACGAGTACGTACACTGAGTACATTTATTTTAACTTAATTTTTATTATTATAACAAAATCCTTTTAAAAAAGTTAAAAACTCCCTAAAACTCCATAAAACAAATATCGCGACCCTATAAAAGCGAACTAACTATAGTTAAAAAAATATGAAACTTACTATATTATAATAAAATAGGGGGGGAATAGTATTCTTACTACTATTCCACGCGGACTGACCAGTACAGTAATAATTAAATGTACATTTTGTTTTATATATATAATTAAATATATTTGTAATTGCCTTAATTGTAAATAAAATATATTACCAAACTAAAATAGAATACTTACCCGGACTTACCATACCGGCGTAGCGCTACGCCGTAGCGGTCCGCGCGGGACCGCCGGTGCACTGCAACTGCACTCACCTTGCAACCCTCGCACGAAGTAACCCCGTAGTGGTATCCCGACGCCTTGTCCCCGCACACTTTGCACGGCGCTGCGGCCTTCCCGCTCCCGCCAGTTGCGCCCTCTGGCTGTTGCTCTGAAACACATCTCTACTTAATTTACATATGTCATAACCATAACCGTTTCGGATTTTTCCTCGAATTCATTTTGATTTTTGGTTTCCGACATTTTATAAATTAACTGTAGATTTGTGTTCACCTTATAAATTAATAAACCTTGTAATGAGCATAGGATAAATAAGCAGGCTAACACTGGTTGCAAGCGTTTTCAATATCTTTTATCCTAACGGTTACATAGAAATAAGTTGTTGTGGATTGTATTATAACTTTTAACATATTTTCTCTTGAGAATGATCTCTCGCCGTAAAAAATAGCTTATCTCACTCAGCCCTTCCAACCACCTCCACACAAAGACACGCCAATACATCACTCTGTACGACATAAAAGAAGAAAAAACAAACAAATAATAAAAATAAATGTTGGGACATTAACACACAGCGCCATCTATTTCCATGGTAAGCTACGAGGCTTGTGTTACAAACATTCGTGCTCATCATACAAATGAATGCCCCCAGCGGAACTCGAACCCGCGACCGCTGGCGCCAAACGTGTCGTCAAACTAATAAACACACTTTCACATTTATAACATTAGTAAGGATTTACATGGTACGGTACTTCGGTGCCGTTTCTCTTTTCTTTCAAATTAATATAATGGTGTGGATTGATGTCGTCTGTAATAACTTTTGGGCGTCATAAACCTTAGTCTCTAAAAATCAAAATAAGTCGGCAAAAATATCCGAGAAATAATTTTATTTAAAATACATCTCTACTTGATTTATATGGCATACGTTGTAAATTTTAAACTCACTGTTTCAATTCAAATTAATTAACGCTCGGCAATCGGAATGTTATTATCGTAATAGAAATTTTTTTTGAACTGCACATATGCATTTATGTTATCCGAATCCGTGTGTTAGTCGGAAGTCGGTATTTATTGTTTGTTAGAAAACGTATTATACTCTGCATTCTCATCTTACGTTGTTTGCTTATTTAATAATTTTTTTCAACTTTGTGGCATAACTTTAGGAATATAAATATAGGATATAAAATAAAGTTATGTGGGAATTTACACTACATATATCATATATTATTTGAAATGGGTAACGAATACAAATAACGTTTTACAGATATATCAAATTATTATTTAAATTTAAAGTTAAATATTTCAAGAAATGTAACAACTGCTAGCAAACCTTTATATATAAAATAAATTATAAGAAAAATAGTGTGGAGTAAATGATTGATTAGATGTTAATCTCATTGTAATATTATAAATGCGAAAGTTTGGATGTATGGATGTTTGTTAGTCAATTACGCTAGAACGGCTAAGCGGATCTAGATGAAATTTGGCCTAGAGATAGATTATAAGTCTGGAATAGAACATAGGCAACTTTTTATCCCGGAAAAATGTGATTACCGTGGGATAGATTTGTTTTTGTTTTTCATTACGAACGAACCCGAGCGAAGCAAGGGTGAGCCCCTAGTATGTATATTATATGTAAAACATCTTTAATATGTTTGATTATGAAAAGAAGGTAAGATCTAAACATATTCGGATCTAGTTCAAGCCTCTAAGGCATAAAGCTGCAAATGTCATTAAAATCTGTCCTGTGGTTTTATAGTAGTGGCGTAAAGCTCTATAGAGACACGGTGACATTTCCATTTTATTATAGCTATACTACTGCCGGCTCCTGCGGTTTAAAATGTTTGCTTTATTAGGAAATAATGTAATTTCTATCAATAAAATAATTATAATACGTGGACGCTTAAAATGATTCAAAATGTATGAGTACGAAGCGAGGGTCATTAAATATTAAACTGCTTTAACTTTAGCAGATTTCAGCACAAGAATAACGTAGTAGGTTGACGGAATAAAACGAGGACATGAACTCATATACAAAGTTGTATTATGTACGATATAGTACTTTTAGTTCGAAATTCTATTTTTAACATAAAATATTTTTAGTCAAAATTAAATGTAGAAGATAATAATATTTCAATTTGTTTATAATCTAAAGCATTATTCGTAGTTGTTTCTTTGTAGGACTTCCTTCAGCCTATTATCTCTAAAACAACATATGTTTATATTAGTAGGTTGCTTAGTGAGTTATAACATTTTATTAGTAGCGGCACATAATTATCAATAGAAAATATACTCGTAAAACTAAATGTTTATATATATTTACATATACATATTTAGTGAGGTATTTATTATATAGAAATTAATACTTCTCTTTGACAAAGCAGGGCGCAGACTATCATAGCGTTGGTCAAAGTTTTGAATAGAATATAACATTTCCATTTATATTTGATAAACGCATTTCAACAATAATTTAAACCGACTGGTTGTGAGTTAAGAGCACTTTATTAGCAGAAATACGCTTTGATGGAATGGGATATTCGGAATGCTACTCGCTAGGCTGTTTAAAATATTTAAATGTATTTTTGTTATTTTTCCCACCTTCCAAAAGGAAGGAGCTAAATCTATCACAATTCTAGTGTTTCTATTTTGTATTTATGATAATTGAGAATTAATTTGCATGATTTTTTTATGAACACTTTCGTGATTTTGAAAACGACGTATCATTTTACTTTAGAAAATATCGAATTAATACTCTATATCAATATCTTTTATATTGTATATACGAATATGCTTTACCAATAATTAACATGGTTTCTAATTTCTATTAAAGTTTGCCTGCACTTACTTTGTAATACAGTAATATTACTTCAGAGCATATAGGAGATATATTATCTAAAATGCAAGAAGTGATAGATAATTGAATTTGTAACTATTTGTAGAACGGAGTTTGTTCTACGTAACACGGCAGCTCTAGGGGAACTTAGCTTCACAATAGAATATATAATAAATTTATAGTGTATTTTGAGAAATGCTGTCATTACTAGGGCAAGTGTGGCTTCTAACATGCTTGAAATAATTGTGGAAAGCTTTTTATGTTCCTGATTAACTTAAAACTTCATTAATTATTCATTATTTCATATATATTTCACTTGTTGATTATATCTATAATAGACTTTATTTTACTGTTGAATGAAGGTGTTGGGCCACCATATAATTCTTCCGCGTGGGACCATTACCCAACATACACTATCTAAACGGGTGATTAGTTGTGTAACACTATGATATTTCACGTAGGGTCATAACTAAAAATCTAAAGAAAGATATAAAAATGAAATTTTAGTATAAGGTGAAAAGATAAAAATGTAATAAATACATATATGAAACTGTTCTTACTAAACCCAGGGTCTAAAAGATATCAACGCGTTCCTTTTTTAGTTGCATTTAATTTAATTATTCTTGCTTCCATACTAATATTATAAATGTGAAAGTGTGTTTGTTTGTTCATTTGTCCTTCTTTCACGTCGAAACGGAGTGACGTACTGACGTGTTTTTTTTGTGTGCAGATAGTTGGAGGCCTGGAGAGTGACATAAGCTATTTTTTACCGCGGGAGATTACCTAATACCAACGGGAAAACATTTTATAATACAATCCAAAAAAATATTTATGATCATAATTACTTGAAACTTGGTATTAAAGCTCTTTAATAAAATTAAATTAATACGTGTCTTAGGATTTTTCGAAATTCATCCCATAAGAAGATAAAATAGGGGATGAAAGTTCGTATGAAACTACCCTTTTAGAGATTTTTTGGAGTTTAAGCGCAAGCGAAGCCGCGGGTTCTGCTAGTTTTATCATAATTGTTTATACATATTTATTTTTATATGATTATTCATTCTGTATAAATCATAAAATAATTAATTTAACATTAAATATAAATAAACTATTCAAACTATCACATATTTTATATTTTAAATGTTTATTTTAGATTTACTTCAAATATTTAACAAAGGAACTTATCTAATAATATAAAAAAAATAGTCTAGTGATTCATTTCCTGTACAATAATAAAACGTGTACATTTATATTAATAGTAGACATACAAATAAAACGTATAAAATCAAATAACGAAAAAAAAAACGAATATAGAACCTCCTCCTTTTTTAGAAGTCGGTTAAAAATGAGACTTCACCTTGAACCGAAACAGGAATGACACATTTTTGAGTATACATAAGACTAAATATTTTTATCGTTATAACAATGTGTCCCTAAAATATATTTTCCCAAATAATAAGGATATTATATTATTCAAATAGCATATCACTTTCATTATATGTATAAAATTTAAGACATTGTTTCTAAAGGTTACTTTTTTGGAAAAATAATGAATTTGCCAAAATCCACTCAATCGGTTAAGTAGATAAAAATAATCACTTACTATATAACTCTTATTTGCCTCAATGCATATTTTTTAAGGTCTAAATTAAAATGAATCTCTTAACCTTATTGAACTAACTTACGAGTAATTCTATTAAATTTATTTTGGAATAATGTTTTTCTCAAACCATTCATACTTTGCTAAAAAAAAGCTTTGTTATCTTTGTGATGATATTTCAATTAAATTAATTCTTTGTGTAAAGGTACAAAGGTTGAAAAATAAAAATATAAATAAAAATATAAAAAGTTACTATGAAAATTTCATAAAAACGGAAATCGATATGATGATTCCATTGCATTGGGTTTGTTAGAGTAAGTGTGCTCTGAGTATCACTCAAATAATAGCTTTTACATAGTCTATAAACGGTAAGGAGAAACATCCATAAAAATAGGCAGACTTGATTTCTATTATAGACGTAAAGAGTGGACTGAGTGTTTCTTTGCCAGCCATCAGCTAAAAATATCGGTAAAGCGTTAGAGATAAAACGAATGTGCCAGAAGCCTGCAGAATTAATAGAAATACGATTAATGAAGGTAGATATTTATAACCATATTACATCCCATTGTAATATTATAATGTTCAATAATATTATAATTTTATTACATTCCATTTATAAATTCAAATAGAAGACAGGTATTGGCCGCATGTTTTCTTTCGCCCTTTCTAGATAGTGGTCTATTTCATGACAGTATTGCTCAGTCCATTCTCTAGGTCTATG